TTATTCAGAGACAATCACTGTACTCAAAAAAACTGGAGCCCTCAGCCAGGGGCAGTGGTGGCACACGCCTTTGACTCAGCACTCAGGAGGCAGAGGCAGCAAGATCTCTGTGAGTTCAAGGCCAGCCTGGTCTACAGAGCAAGTTCCAGCATAACCTCCAAAGCTACAGAAAAACTGTCTTGGACTCCCTGACAAAAAAACAAAACAAAACCAAAACCAAACAAAAAAACAAAACAAAAAACAAAGGAAGTCAAAGCTGAATGTGGTAGTACACACCTTTCATCCCAATGTGGTAAATGTGGTAGCAAACACTTTTCATCCCAGTGCTTGGGAGGCAGAGGTAGAAGGATCTCCTTGTTTGAGACCAAACTGATCTACATAGAGAGCTGAGGCCTAGTGAGGTCTAGGATAGCCAGAACCTGTCTCAAAAATTAATACACACACATACACACCCACACTGGGTAGAGGGAGCCTACCCAGTCCTCAGCACACCAACTCCCAGACTATGCTGTTTTTGTTAGGGGAAGGAAGTGTTCTTTATGAAAGTATTTTAGAGTAAATTAAGATAAAGAACAGGTCTAAAAAGGGTTGGGGAGCGGGCTCAGTGGTAAAAAGCACTGAGGACCTGGATTTGATTCCCAGAACCCACATAAGTTCACAACCACCTGTAACAAGATCTGACACCCTCTTCTAGTCTCTGTAGGTGATAGGTACACAAGTGGTGTCTGGGTGTACATGCAGGTAAAATGCCCATTAAAAACAAAAAAGGGTCTGAGGATGTAGCTCAGTTGGTAGAGTCCCTTCCCAGCATGCACAAGGCCCCAGGTTCAATTCTCCAGCACTGAATAAACTAGATTAGGTATAGAAAGTCTATAATTCAGAGGCGGTGGCAGGAAGACCAGGAGTTCAAGGCCACTCTCCACTGCATAGTTGAGTTCCAAGCAAGGCTTGAACGGTCTCAAAAAAAAAAAAAAAAAAAAAAGGTAAAAAATTCTGTGATTCTGAGTGTGGCAGTACTTGGGAGGCAGGGGCAGGTAGATCTCTTCGAGTTTGAAGCCACTCTGGTCTACACAGTGAGTTTCCAGGACAGCCAGGGCTACATAATGAGATTCTGTCTCAAAAAAAAAAAAAAGGTCCTGAAAACACTCTCCCGCCCATTCAGGGGCCTCTGGATCCTTTGATGGGGTGTCCCTGCAGGAAGGAATCAGTACATTAGGCTTCAGCCGATATTCTCTCTTGCAGACTATTTCTTGTGGGCCTCTTTTCTCCTTGCCTTTTGTATGTTCAGGGCTCATACTGTGAGGGGCACCTTTTTGCTTTCATGCGTGTAGTGTATGTTTGTGTTCATATGGGTGATGTGCTTACATGTGGAGGCCAGATGTTGACATCACGTGTCTTTTTCTATGCCTCTTCATCAGGAGTCTCCAGTGATAACTTTCACCACTGTATTCCTTGAGGCCAATTGACACAGGATGCAGAAATTTCCAGACTAAAGCTGAGACACTGACACAGGGCTTTGTCAAGCCAGCCACGAGTGATGCCCTGGAAATTCTCTTCGCATAGTGTTCTAGTCCGGCAAGAAGAAGCTCACAGCATACTAGCTTAGCTCTTTGGAAGGTGACTTAAAAGGAAGTTAGGAAAGAGTCTAGGACTTGGAACTGGAGAGCAAAGGCCTACTCCCACTTCCGCTGTTTGTCAATGAGTAGCCAGAAGGAACTCACTAATGGACTGTGGGTGTTCCCATTCATAAAACGTGGGCAGTCTGCATCAGCAACAAAACCAGACCAATAAACAGTGGCTCTGCACAAGTCCTGGGAAACAAAACCAAACCCCAAGGAAGTTGTTAATGTGGGTTTTCCCAAACTTATCTGGGCTAGAGTTTCTTTTTCTAAGGATTTATTTTTGGCAGATACTCTGGCACATGCCTTTGATCCCAGTACTTGGGAAGCAGATGGAACTCTGTGAGCCAGCATGGCCAGCCAGGGCTACGGTGAGATTCTGTCTCAAACAACCAAATCCAAGATTCCTCTTTGTTTATGTGTATGTCTCACAGAAGCAAGATGCAGGTGCCCTCTGAAGCCAGAAGAGGAAGAACATCAGATTCTCTGGGGCGTGAGATGCCTAAGGTGGGTGCTGTGAACTGAATTTGAGTCTTAACTGCTTGCTGGTTAGCTTCTAAAATCTTCTTATGTAGTCAATGCTGGATTTAAACTGGCAGCAATCCTCCTGCCTCTACCTCCAAAGTGCTGGTATTATATGAACAAACCAGTGTCAAGTTAGAGACTAAAAAAAAAAAAAAAAATTTTTTTTTTTTTTTTTTCTTCGTTTTTTGAGACAGATTTTCTTTGAGCAACCTTGGCTATCCTGGAACTAGCTCTGTGGAACAGGCTGGCCTGACTCACACTGCCTCCTGAGTGCTGGGACTAAAGGCATGCACCACCACTGCCTGGCAGAATTCTTTAAATTTTTATTTAAATTTTGTGCGTGTGTGCATATTTGTGTGTACATGTATGAAGGTGCCCTCGAGGCCAGATGTAATTTCAGTTCCAGGAAATTCAACACATATATGCACATACACACATATGAAATCCTTTAAAAAAATCACTCCTTTAAGTTTCTTTCTTAGAATATAAGCTTTAAGGAAAGCAGCATCTATATATCTTAAATCTATACTTGCCTCAAATCTCAAATCCTGCCTGTTTTATCCTCCTAAGTAGTTTGGAGTTAGACATTGAAAAGGTTGAAGTAGGGGCTGGAGACATGGCTCAGTGGTTGAGAGTACTCGCTGCTCTTCCAGAGGACCTAGGTTCAATTCCCAGCACCCACATGGCAGATCACAGCTGTCTGTAACTCCAGATCCAGGGGCTCTGACACTTTCACCCAGACATGCATGCAGGCAACACACCAATGCACACGTAAGAGAAAAGGTGGACCCCACCCCTGTGTCTTTCCAAATAAACCATAGGGGCCAGGGGAAAAAAAGCAAGCAATCTTGCAGTTCCAAGTAGGCTAGGGTCCAGGGTTCATCTCAGCTGCCTTTCTGGAAGATTGTTGCTGACTAACCTGGCGCACCATTGCCACCTGGTGGCCAACATGTAGCTATGGCAGCAGTCACACAAGTGCTGACTGAAATCTGAGAAGGGGAGACCTGAGCGGGTGACTGGACAGCTTCCCAGGGTCACAGGAAGGGACTGTGTGTACTGTTCTAGGAGCCCTTGTTCAGCCAAGGGCTCTGCCCTTCCAGAAGGAAGTCCTGCTCGCCCAAGGACCCCAGTTGACCCATCTTGGCCTACTGGCTGTCAGTTTGTACCTTAGTGTGTCCCACAGCCTGTCTGTCCTCTCTTACCAAACCTTCCTTTGCTTCTCTGCATCTGCCCTGGTTTGAGATGAGTTACTATTTCCAGCTTGCTATTTCCCTACAGTATTCCTCACATTCATCTTGGCCATCTAGGCACCAGGCCAGTCCAATGTGCAGGCCCACCCCAGTACACCTTGGAAAGCAGTTTCTACATTTCCAAACATTTCCTTAGAGACAGGATTTCTCTGTGTAGCTTTGTCTGTCCTGGAACTCATTCTGTAGACCAGGCTGGCCTAGAACTCACATACTTCAAACTGCCTCTGCCTCTCAAACACTGGGATTAAAGCAACCACATGGTTGCTGGGAATTGAACTCAAGAAATCTGGAAGAGCAGCCAGTGTTCTTAACTTGAGCTACCTCCCCTCCTGCCACAGCCCAGGGACTAGCATGTACACAGACAATACTCAACCACCGAGTTACACTCCAGGCCTCAAGGCTGGTCTTGAACTTAGTATCCTTCTGCTTTGGCCTGTAAGTAGCTGGAGTTGAAGGAATTTATACACAAAAGATTAACTTACTAAGCATGGACATACATGTGTCAGACAACTCAAGGGACCGAACTGTTCAATCCTGCCACTTGTTAGAAAGAGAAGATTCTAACAAGTGGCAGGATTGAATTTTAATCTGCTCTTTACCTTCCCTAGGGCTGGGAAATTATTTTGTTTTTTCAAGACAGGGTTTCTCTGTGTAGCCCCAGCTGTCCTCAGACTCAAGAGATCCACCTGTCTCTGCCTCCCAAGTGCAGTGATTAAAGGTGTGCATCACCACCAGGCAAAGAACTATTTTGAGATAGGGTCTCATCATGTGACTCTGGCCTGGAATTCAGAGATCTACTGGGCTATACCCAGAGTGCAGAGATCAAGGGTGCATACTGCTATGCCTCAGACAGAGCTGAATGCACACACCCATTTCATCCTGTCAATCACTGAGCGTGTCTTTTGTCTTTAGCAATAATGGGACTGTTTCAGCCATTGCTGAAACCAAACTGTATCTTCTTATCCTCTTGAGGAAAATGCAAGTCCCCTTGAGTATATTAGGAACCAGGCAGAGACTATGGGTTCAAGGTCATTTTATTTGCAGAGCCTGCAACAGTTGGTTAACAATGCTAGCTAAACTGGTACAATCCAAAAGCCATTCTCTTTCAAGGCATTCAACTAACAGAATCTCTACAAACCAGAGACTAATTGGGACACATTTCAACACTGGGGAAGAGGCTGCTCATTCCCTTTTTCTCCACATATTTTCCAACAAGATTTGTTTTATAGCCAAATGTAACTCAAACCCATAACAAAACAACTAGCCATCTTCAATATCACTGATTCCCTCCCCACCCCCAGAATAGAAAGCAGAGGTAAGAGGGGAGACTTTCCCTAAGAAAAACCTGGCTAGACCCCAGTGGAGCACAGATGACTGACCAGGAGACTGGTGCCTGGGGATGCTGAACAGGCACCAAAATAGGCTGCACATAATCGAAGGGCAGCCCAGATCCTCAGATGGGAGGTGTTCCCTCGAGAGCCTCACTTCCATGGGGTTAGATTAAGGGGGTAACTGGTGTGATTTATCACTCCCTGTCCCTCAAATTAAAACATGATAAACCCAGAACATTTTACTTCAAAATTTACCACTTCCTCCTGAGAAATTCTACAGTCACCTGCAGGCCAGGGCCCACTCCTTCCACCCAATGGCCTGGGCTTCTGGCCGCTTCTCACCCTTGGGTGCCCACCCAACAATGATTTGATACTCAACTCATACAATGACTTTTTTTTTTTAAAGGACATTCAGTGAGCATGCCTCTCCCTCCTTCCCACTCTGACCTTGGGTACCTACGCTACAGCATTCCAGCACTGGCCTGGGGGTGGCCAGATGGAAGCCGCCTGAAGTGCTTTCCCGCGACTCTATAGAAGCCACTATCATGGGAACCTGGAGTGGATCTGAGACTTTCCCAAGGACATCCCAAGGACAGAGGCCAGCCTGGGAAGGTTAGCTTATGTCCTGTAGCCAAGCCTGGATCTGGTGCAGGCTCTCACCAGCATCTCAGTCCTTGACTGAGTAGCAGCAATCCCAGTTCACAGGGCCTCCTGGGGTGACTGAGCTCCTAGCACTGGCCACAACTCAACAGGTTTGCCTTTTCTTATCCCTGCCCCAATTTTTTTTTTTTTTTTAAATTAAAAGTAGAGGTAGTTCCTGGGATGATAAAACTCTACCTAGGATGGCAGTATTTTGACTTAATGAAGCAGTAAAGTAGAAGTCTTGAGGAATTAAAAAATAATAAAACAATTGATGAAGCTGAATAAATTAAGTTACAGGTCACCCACAAGGACCTCTTCCTCCCAGCCCATCTTTGGCATTCGGCCAGCAGCACTTCTGTTTGGGTCACTCACCTGTCTCCCCTCATGACAGGAGCCCAGGGTCTGCCCAATAAGGTCCCAGCTACTTTTCATGGGACGGTTCAGTCAGACAGTCCTGACGGGAGAGTCCCGAGCTCCAGCCTGGAAGTGTAGGAGACAGACTCAAGGCCCGGGAGGCCCATGCCTTCCTCCAGGGACCACAGCTGGCTCCTCTGTTTCCTGCTCTGCAGCAAAGGGAGAGGAAAGGGCGAGGGAAATGAGGCTGCTGCCCCGTGGCTCAGAGCTTCTTCAGGCGACTGTACATCTCTCTTTTGCTCTTCTCCCCTGCCCAGGTCCGGCTCTTGGTGCGGAACTTCTTCAGGTCTTCTTTAAAGTCTTCATGGTGCATCGGTCGGTAACTGGGGGGCTCGCAGTGAGACTACAGGGACGTGAGAATGAGACAAGGTCAGGACACGCCTGTCTCACAGTCTGGAGACATGCTCATCACAGACGCCTCACCTGGCATTTCAGGAAGAACTCCTTGTAACCCCCCTTCAGGACATACAGCTCAGGGTAGTGGAGTTTGGGGTATTCATTGCCAAGCCTGTCTCTCTCTCTCACATATCGGCACCTGGCAAAAAGGAATGAAGGGAAGTCAGGTGGCTTTCAGTGTAGGGAACGGCAGGCAGCAGTAAGGACAGGAGGGGTGTCAGACGCTGCTCCCTAATCACACGCCACTGACACCATCCGCAGCAACTCTGAACCAATTTGCTCTCCACTCCCTTCATCTCGCTTGTCCCACTGTAGTCCTCTTGCTCTACCCAGGAGCTTCCACCTTTGACCTCCTCTTGAAGGACTTCTGCACATTTTGCACAGTTCTAAGTTTTTTGTTATGCTTTTCTGCCTCCTGCTTACTCCGAATGTGACCTCCACAAAGGCAAGGTTTTAGTTTTGTGTTATACTGCTATTGCTATTTTTCCAGTACTTAGAAGACTGCCTGGCTTATGAAGACTCTGAGATTGGGATGCAAGTTCCTGGTATTTCCATTCGTGTGTAACTATTCAGGGCCTGTGCAAATTTTACCTGTTCATGTGTTAAACGTAGGGGGTTCTTGGTTTTTTTTCCTTCCCCTTTTTGGTGACAGGACCTCACTATATGGTCCAGACTGACTTTGAATTCTTGTACAACAGTGCCCCGCTGTAGTTATGAATGGAATGTGTGTGTAAACGTGGCAGAATAGCAGCAAGATGAAACCGCACGTTCCTAACTTCAGCAAAGGAGGGCCCAGCTCTGCAGCAGTAACCGAAAGGACAGAGCACAGCCTGAGACCGGGCTTCTCTGTGGCTTTGAAGGCTGTCCTGACACTCGCTCTGTAGACCAGGCTGACCTGGAATTCAGAGATCCTCCTGCCTCTGCCTCCCGAGTGCTGGGATTAAAGGCGGGCGCCACCACTGCCCAGCTGGACCCGAGCCTATGCCTTTCACAGCTCACTAGCCCACTCCCATTCTATGGAGTGTCTCTTAATAAATATAAGTACCGCCCATTTGAATCTATTAATATTACTGAGGACTGAACCTCTGGCCTGTGTCCCCTTTCCTTCTTTTATTGAGCCACCATGCATGCTCAGCCTCACACCATATCTTTAATGAATGGCTGCATTTTCTTATCTCATCGGTATCTGCTACATAGCAGGTATCTACTCCTCTATTCTTTTGGTTCTGGGCTTGAACCCAGGACCTTACAAATACCAAGCAAGTGCTCTATCCATTACTGACTTGAGCCATACCCCAGTCTGCCAGTAAGTTAGTTTCTAAGTTTGAGACAGCGTCTCATAGCTCAGGTTGACCTGAGCATAAGAAACAATTTCTTGATATTTAAAGGATGTTACATGAGACCCATAAGTAGAAATAAACACAGTGGGGAAACTGGGTGAGCCAAAGGGGACAAAGTCAAATACATGAGAGTCAACACTGGTCTCATCAATGTGACTGGACCAGAAGAACCTGAAAATCATTTGTAACTGAAACTTCTAAGTTAAGCCTATAAAATTACATTCAAGAAATCTGTTTGGGCTGGGTAGTGGTGATGCATGCTTTTTATCCCAGCACCTGGGAGGCAGAGACAAGGTAGACCTGGTCTACAGAGCAAGTTCCAGAACAGATAGGATTACACAGAGAAACCCTGTCTCAAAAACAAGAAGGCTCAATAATAGGTAAAGGTGGTTCCAGAAATTCACAGAAGAACAGACAGACTCTCAATCTGTTTTCTGAGTTGCATACATGCATGTGAACACATACACACACATACAATGTAAAACATAATAATAATAATAATAATAGGCTCTTTGTAAAACAAATGACTAAACAGGAAATACAATTGAGGGAAAATATACTATATAGAGAATTAGTTCATAAAAGCCAGGTTCACATGCCATGTGCAGACTAAGGTACTCAAGTGACTGGTGATGTACACAACAGGGTGCCTGACATGCTACACTTGTGCCACTAGTGAAAAGGAACACACTGCCAGGCTCAACAAAACATCATGGAGCCTCTGTCCCCAAGCCTTAGGCTTTGTGGTACTCACATTCGAGGGCCTCTTTCAGAAGAAAACTCACAGTGGAATACGACAATGACACGCTTGCCATCAGTAGGTACGATAGGTTTTTTGAGTAAGAATTCCTCGACCTCTTCTTCCATGTGCAAGTTCACAGCACCCTTTGAAGACACCAGATACTCTTAGCATCTGCGGAATCACACTTGAAGTAAAGACTCAAAGAGGGAGCCAGCTCCTAGGACTCATTTGTGATTGTGCAGGTCTCCTGGCACAGCACTCCAGTAGACCACCTGCCTTCTGTATCTGCCTTCTGAATGAAGCCTTCTCTATAGGTCTATAATCTTCAGTCATTCAGTAACAAACATGAGAACTGGAAATGATTTCAAATTGTCACTTTTCATAAAATTAGAACGTAATTATTAGATCAATTCACAAGGTAAGTGGTATGACAAGCTCCTTTCTTTCCAGAAATGTCCCTTACCAGGCTGGTAGCTTGATTGAGGAACAGAGGCCTGGTACAGACACCAAGACGTGTACCAGAATGGTGTCTTCTAGTCAGGAGCTCTGGTGGCCAAACATTTGTATTTTAGCGTTTCAAATGCTATGGAACCCTTTGTGGCTCCACTGAAAAGCCTAGACATCAGGGGTGCCACCTACAAATGCCCTGAAACAGGATAATGTAAGGGACAGACAAGGGGGAGCATTGCAATTCAACGGTAGCATTGAGTTCACATCCACTGGCTTGTTCTAAATCCTCACCATCAGCTGAGAAGGTGTCAATATCCTACCTCTAAGCCACCCAAGATAAGTCTCAAGAATCCAAACCTTGATGTGACCTCCTTCATATTCATATGGGTATCGGCAGTCAATGATAACAAATTCTTTAATGAGATTAGCAAACTTGCCATTCAAAACAGATGCCATCTATGAAGAGAAAGGAGGGTGGGGTGTCAATGCTGGCAGTCAGGCAATAAGAGTCCAACTCCCCATGTGCAGTGGTTCCACAAATCTGACTTACAATTTCTGGAGAAATATATTTCAAGTCCTGATGCTTCCCAGAGACTGTATGAAAGAGATAACCCTTTAAAAAAGGAACAGAAGATACTTAGGGGGATGTGAAAGCTTGCAAATGTCATTTCCTCTGCTGTCCAAAAACAAACATAAGTGAATAGCATATGCTAATAATTACGCTTCTATGCACTTAACTAACATTCGGATATTTAATTGTTATTTGTTTAAGGAGAAATGGCCTCATTACCTAGAAAGTCTGGCTCTAAACTCAGAGGTGTGTCTGCTCCTGGAATTAAAGGAATGAGCCTTTGAGGCAGCACAGACCAGGCTGGCTTGGAACTGAGGCCAGATTTGAACACAGAAATTGCAGGAGATTTCCCCTTTCTCTTGTTTTTAGCCAGGAACTCTCATCTCAGTGGCTAGAGTATGAAGACTTAAAAATGCAGTGAAGAGCCAGACAGTGGTGGCACAGGCAGAAGGATCTCTATGAATTCCAGGCCAGCCTGGTCTATGTAGTGCTAGCTCCAAGACAGTCAGTGCTGTTACAGAGAAACCCTGTCTCCAAAAAACACGCCTGGTAGCTCAGGCCTGTAATAATATAGCCTTTGGGAGGTAGAGGTAGGAGGATCATGAATTCAAGATCACCTCCAGCCTGAGTGTGAGCATGGGGCCAATTTGGAATGAGACTGTATGAAAAAGCACAACAAGAGGGCAGGCATGGTACTGTATGCTGTGTACCCCAGCCCTGGGAGCCTGAGGAAGGAGAGCCGCATCTAAAGTCAGCTTGGGCTAAACAGTGCTCATCTGATGAGTATGGAGATGGGCAGTGAGAATGGGAAAACCTTAGTCCAGCCTTGACAAAGACTGACATAGCAGTATTATTTAGAGGATAACTGGTCAAATTCAGAGCCTACCCATGACAAGACAAACCACCAGCAGTCTCAACTCAAGTTGAAGGTAACAAAAGCCTTCTGTCGTTCTCTTCAAACTCCCCATTCTTTTTATTTTGAGACAGGGTCTCTATATAGTCCCACCATCCTGGAACACTAGGTAGATCAGACTGGCAACTTCTGCCTCCTAAGTGCTGGGATTAAAGGCATGCACCACTACTACCCCAAAAATCTGGACCTTCTAAGATATCTTTCAACATATGGACTCAAAGCATGGCTTTATATGTACACTATTTTTACAGTAAGAAGTCCAGCTCCTAGAGAACCTGCACCATGGGTTAGAGTAAAGGCAGATAGCCAACAGGAAACCCTAAACTAGAAACAGACCAACATGTACCTCATGATCAGAAGCTCAATTTGTTCCTTATCTTTTTAAACTTAGAGGCACCCCAGGTGCCACCTTGAAGGAGAAAGGCTAAGGGGGGGGGGGGGGGGTTCTAGCTACTCCCATCACTTCCTTAGTATTACCCAACTAGATAGCTCTTCTTGCAATTACCTTGGAGAAATCCCCTATAAGGTCTCTTGGGTCACTGTCCAAGATGTTCTCAATGGTTCCTTTGGGTGAAGATATCAGGGATAAAGACTGGTGTAGAAGCTGTAACAAAGCAAAGGTAGAGGATGACACCAGGATTTTGACTAGAACTCCAAAATATTTACCCTGACCATGATAAAGGAGACTGAAATATGAAGGAAAAAGATAGGCCCTTCTATTTATTACCTAGTTGAATTTCTATGAAAACCTCTTCTATCCTTTTTTGGTGACAAAGTTTTACTGTGTATCTTTGGCTCCCTAATGTAGACCAGGTTAGCATCAAAGTCAGAGACCCATAGGGATTACAGACATGCAACATACTCAGCACCTTTCATTTTTATTGTTCTTAATGAAAACCATTAAGCTGATGTTATCAAGTTGAGGCTTGGTAATGCAAGAAGCAGGAGGACTACTACAAGTTTGAGCCTTGCCAGGGCTACATGGCAAGAATCTGCCAAAAGCAAACAAAACAAAACCACCAAACCCAAAACACAAGAGCATTGTCATGTATCTCACAAAATACAGCATCATTACTTTATCTCAGTAGAGTTTCTGAATGTCTGATAAGGCTTTTTTTTTTTTTCCTGAGAAAACAAATTCAAGAAGTTGTAAAGATCATTTTGATTGCTTCTAAATAGTCTTCTGTGATCTAAGCTTTCCTTTTGCAGGCTGGCACAGCACCAATGAACAGCTACACAAGGAACCACTGTGTAAGCAAGCCTGAGAACTAGTAATCAAGAGGCAACCTGAACATTTCTATCCAAAAAGAGAGATTGGGACCTTGAACCAACCATTGCTTTTTATGTTTTTCCTGCTTTCAGGGGCACAAGGGCCACTGAGGTGGCCCAGAGTGCAAAAGTACTTGTATATACCTGATAGCAATCCTGAGAACCCATGGTGGAGAGACAACTCTGCAAAGTTGTCCTATGACCTCCACACATGCCTTGCACCAAAGTAGCATTTATAAAAGGGTGGTGGAGGCAGGTGGGCACCTTCAGATTCCTTCCCAAGCACAGCCTGTCAGGATAGAGCTGAGACCTCAGACAACAGTCTTTAATGGTAACTTTCCTCCTTTGTTAACATGGAATAAGAAGCAACCCTTAGCTCTATTCACTTAGTATTATTGTACCCTTAGAAGACACAGTACTTTCTCTAAACCCCATTCCCGTTAAAACAAACCATAGGGCTGTGAGGTGGTGGAGCACGCCTTTAATCCCAGCACTTGGGAGGCAGAGGCAGGTGGATCTCTGTGAATTCCACGACAGCCTGGTCTACAAAATTCCAGGACAGCTAAGGCTACACAGAAAAACCCTGTATCTTTTGATAAAAACAAAAAGAAAACCAAAAACAGCCATCAAAATGGCTCAATGGGTAAAGGTGCCACTGCCAAGCCTGATAACCTGAGAAACAGTGAACCGGAGGCCATCCAAGGCTGTGGAGTAAGATCTTCTGAAATATGAAAGTCAATAAAAAAACATAGGCCCTAGCATTCAGGAGGTTTAGCCAGAAGAACCATGAATTTAAGGTCAATCTGGGCTACATAGGCTTTGCCTTAAAGAAAAATATCAAATATCTGAAGCTGGAGCCATTCTGTTTTATAGATAGGTTCTTATGGCACATGTGCACACATGCACATGAATGTACACACCTTTAAAAAGACTGATAAAATGCTGGGTGGTGGTAGCTCAAGCCTAGGAGGCAGAGGCACATGGATCATTGAGTTTGAGGCCAGCTTGGTCTACAGAGTGAGTTCCAGGACAGCCAAGGCTACACAAAGAAAAAGCAAAACAAAACAATCCGAAGCTACAGAGAAACCCTGCCTCAAAAAATAAAACAAACAAACCCAGCACTAGGATCTATGGAGACAGAGGAACCAAAGTTCAAGGTCATCATAAACTAAAGTTTGGGGGCAGCAGCCCAGGCCACAAGGGAACTGGTTCCTAAAAGACAAAAACAACCATCAAACACAGTTGGATGACCTAACATTTGCCAACTGTCCTGTTGTTAGAATGCTAAAGTAAAGATGGAGAGAGAATAAGGCTAGCCTGAGCTGCCTGGTGAAACAGACTGAGACCAGCAGAACACGCAGCACTCTGGAGGCAGGAGCAGGCAGATCTCTGAGTTTGAGCCCAGTCTGTTCTATACAGTGAGTTCCAGGACAGCCAGACAGTCTCAAAACAAACACTAACTCCCTCCCCTGCAACCCACCAACCAAATAATTCCCAATGCAGCCACAACGAATGTGGCTTAAAAACAAACTGGAGCCGGTGAGATGGCACACCAAGTTAAGGACTCTTTGCTATGCCCGAGACCAAGATGGTAGAAGAGAAATGTCTCCAAGTCATACTCTGACACGTACGTGTGCACTCTTTATGTGCTCCTATCTTTACACAAACAAACACACAACCAAATAGGAAAATAAGAATGGAGATGGAGCTTGGTGACCAAGTTCTTGAAAAGTATACACAAAACCCTAGGTTCAATCCTCAGCAACAAGCAAGCAACCCTCAAACCAACCAAAAACCCCACCTAATAGGGCTGGAGAGATGGTTCAATAGTTAAGAACACTTTGTTCTTGTGGACCAAAGGAGAACTTGCAAAACTAACCTCCTGGGTTGGCTCTAGACTATCCGCCTTTACAGGACTGGTCATGCTCTTCCTCCGCTTTGTATTTCCTCGAGGAGACTCCTCACGAGAGCGTTCTGTTCTCTTCAACACTGACCGAGTGCTGGAGCAGCTGCTGGAGCTGCACGGGGAAGGTGAGTCAAACAGCCTGCAGCGATTGCCCTAGGGTAAAAGACACAGATGCACCTTGGGCCAAGGTTCCAGTGGACATAGTTAAGGACTACTCTGTTCAGCGGCTCAATTAACTATTCAAACTCCACATACTGAAGTAACTTACAAGGTTTGTAGGTCTTCTCATGACAAGGGGAGCTGTCCAGAGGCTTGCCATGCATGAAGGGGTCTCCTCATCATTCTAGAGCAAGAGAAAAACTGTTTTTAAGTAGATCCAGTGGAGGGGCTGGGAAGAAAAGGACCCAGTCGATTTTGATAAATGCTTTGCATTTAACTCTCCTAAAGAATGGCAGACAAGCCTGGATAAATTTTGATTTTGGTCTAACTTGTGGTTTATGGCAACCCTGTTCAGCATCCTGAATGTTGAGATTATAGGTATTACCACCAGTGAAGGCTAGTACCTCTTTTTTTGATACAAGAGATTGAACCTAAGGCCTTGCACATCCTAAGCATATGTTCTACCACTATGTTATCTTACAGAAGTACCTCACCAGCACCATATGACAACCCCCCCACACACACAATAGGATTTAACCAAGCAGGGAAGAATCCCAATAATCTTATAAATGAACCATCAGTAAGCCAGTGGAGACTCCAGTTCTTACTTAAGAGGCTTCTCCAGTAGTGACTAGAATGGGTAGGCACACACACAAACCCACAGATGGTACCTTCAGATTCTCTCCATCTAGTAGGTCTATGAAGCCATCATCCTCATCAGACAAAGTGGCTTTCACAGGGGACTGGGATGTGAAAAGAGGACTGAAATGTCCTGATTCACTGTGATCACTTTCATTTGAAGACAGCTGAAAGACAAAATTAGCAAGAACTCTAGTCCATTTTGATTTGCTTATCTGGATTGCCCCAAAATAAAATTTATTTATTAAATAAAAAAAAAGCTAATTATGCTTGTGTACCATGTGTGAACCTGGTATCCCCAGAGATCAGAAGGCATTGGATTCTCTAGCTCCTGAGTTCTTACTTTGTTTTTACTCATTAAGACAGGGTTTCTCATGTAGCCTGGCCAGTCCTGGAACTCACTCTGTAGACCAGACCTCAAATTCAGAGATGAGCCTGCTGCCTCTGGGATTAAAGCCAGCACCACCACTGCCTATGAGCTCTTCTTGCAGTGAGAACTAAAAGTAAGTACCATGTGCAAGCTGTGACAGTATACAATTTGTTGAAAATACAAGTCTCTTATCACAAAATAGCATACCAAAGAAAGTTCAAGAATACCTACGTAACTAACTCCCATTCAGACAGATAGAAACAAAGGGAACCTGTTCTAAAGTATATCCTAGTCCTTTTTTATTTTTGGAGACAGGGAAGTACCAGCTGAGCCAACACTTGTGAACCTTTCCTCCACCCCCTCAAATGTTGAGATCACAAGTGCACACTACCAAGTGTGGCATCCAACCTAGCTCTTCATTGGATTAAATGACAGCTGGGGCCACAGAGATGGCTCGGAGGCTAACAGCAAACATGGCTTTTGTAGAAACTCCAAGATTGATTCCAAGTATCCGCCTTAGCTCACAGCTCCCTGTAATTCCAGCTCTATGGTTGCCTCTGGTCTCCTCAGCCATCCGTACTCAAATACAGCCTACCCCACCAAAACTGATTTAAATAAAACCTAGCTGCCCAACTTTAAGTTGAGGGATTATGATGTCCTAGACGTTAGGACATAATCTTTACAACTATAATCTTACATTTAAGCCATAGCACACACTATTTTAATCAATTCCTTTTTTCTTCCTTGAGACAAAGCGCTCCTAGATTCCAGTCTCAGCCCCTGGAGGAGCTGGGACTACATGTACCAACACACCCAAGAATCCTTTGATTTTTATTAATACTTAATAAAAGAAAACTGATGCTTAAGGTTACCAAGATCATACACCTCACCTATTTGAAATCAATAGACTGTGGTGGCAACCACCTGTAATCCCAGAGACAGGAGCAGTTTTTAACTGCATAGTAAATTTGAAGCTAGCCTGGGGTTTAAAGAGATCCTGTCTCAAAAAAAAGCAAGGAAGATTCCCAATCCAAACAAATGCTAAATCAGTAAAATTAACACTGGCTTTTTAAAAGTCTGCATCCTTGGCTGGAAAGGTGGCTCAGAGGTTAAAAGTTTGGCTGCTCTTTCAGAGGATCTGGGTTTAATTCCCAGCAACTACCCTTAATGAGATCTGGTATCCTTTCCTTTCTAACCTGCAGGGATACATAACAAATAAATAAACAAACCTTAAAACAAACAAACAAAAAAGCCGGTACATCAGCACCTATAATTATCGGTGCCCTTAATGATTAAGCAATCATAGAAAATCTTGGCATTCTGATCCCCAAGCATCTATCAGATATATTCTATTTCAGATATATTCTCAAACTATAATCATGAACTGGGGATCTACAGTTAAATTCTAATCTATCCATGTCCTTTGACAAATAACTTCTCTAAAGAAACTTTCTAAACTGCTAATGAGGTAACTCCAGATAATTCACAGACCTCAGCCTCCCAAATGCTGAGTTTACAGACATGAGTCACCACACCTAGCAATAACAATAAACATGCTTTCTTTTTCTTTTTGAAAAAGGATTTTATTTAATGCATGCTGACATAGAGCTCATGGAAGAGCTGAGAATAAACTTGAATTCCTGGTCATCTTCCCTCTACCTTCTAAGTGTTTGGATTATAGCATGTACCAAAGGCACAGCTTTAGTAAACTTTATGCTGGTACAACATGTATTAATGCACACAAGCATGCATGTTTGCAGTGTTGTAAACTCTCTTCCCCTGACGAACTCCCCATGTGAAAGCCACAACACATACCATACAAGCTGGGGCTGAGTTCTGCCTGTGTGTGAAGAAATCTTTACTCTCCTCATGTACATGGGCATTCAGGGAGCCACGAGATGCAGGTCTTATTGGCTTTTTAAATTCGAATGCTTCCTGCAAAACAATATTTGATATATTTTCTACTGTCTAATAAAAACCAGCTTTAGGGCTGGTGAGATGGTTTGGCAGGTAAACACACTTGCTGAAAAGTCTGAAGATCAGAATTCCACCCTTAAGAACCACATGGCGGAAGGAGAGAACAGACTTATGAAAGTTGGCTTCTGTCTGTCACATGTGCACCGTGGCAAGCTCACATTTGCAACTTTCTTTCACTCAACAGAATTAAAAATTATTGTTGGAGCTAGTGAGATAGCTTAGCAGTGAAGAACAATTCCAAAAGACCCAGGTTTGATTCCCAGAACACACAGGGCATCTTACAACCTTGTATAAATCAAGTTTTAAGGGATACGACACTCCCCTGGTCTCTTCAGGATCAGGCACATACATGGTACACAGACACACAAAAGCTTTAAAACATCCATACACACAAAAATGTATGCTTCCTATCAGTCACATAAGCACTTTCATTAAGTTCTAAAAACAGTAAACTGCTAGTATGTTCACAAGTATTTAATTTAGTATTACTAAACCACCCCCTTGGTTTTACAAGACAAAGGTTTCTCAGCATCTAAGGAGCCAGTTCTGGAACTCATTCTGTAGACCAGGCTGGCCTTGAACTCAAGAGATCCGCCTGCCCCTGCCTCCCACCACCATGCTATACTTTCTAAACTCCTCTAACCGTCAAAAAACCTGACTGCTCCTATTTTACAAGTAAGGAAACAAGGTCTTCTTTGTTTTTCCAGTCAAAGTTTCTCTGTGCAACTGCCCTGGCTGTCCTGTAACTTGATTTGTAGACCAGGCTGGCCTCAAAATGGAAACTAGGTCTTCCAGTTAAATGGTATGCCTAAGTTCTTTAACCTATGCTATTATTCCTTTAGAACAGTTTCCAGGAAGCAACCTTGGGAGAAGGTCAAGTTTGGGTCAAGAGCCAGATTATTTATATAGTTCTGGTTTGGTAGCACTAGAGAGGTTAATTAACAGACTGCTCCAAGCACACAAGTAGGGAACCCATTTCCACAGAATACCTCATGGCATCTCCCAAAGTTGCCAAACAGAATCTGAGTTTCTACAGACATTGGTTTTATATTATTATTAAACATAGATTGTAAGAGTGATAAACGCTGGCATCTAGTAGGGAACGGGAAACAATAAAACATATGGGAATAGAGTGAGCAAGAGGTGGGACAATTAATTCAGCTACTTTAGACATCCTGCAAGGTTTAGGGGAAAGCCAGGCAGGGAATACATGGACTTCTGGATAAACCACATCATCCTTAAAGACACTGTTTCAGATAGTCTGAAATACACAGAACATGCACGGCTTTGGATTTTTAGCTCATCATTCCAGTGTTTATGTATCTGGCAGGAATTCACAGAAAATCAGGTATAAGAAAAACATGCTGCTAGGCACACCCAGCGGCACACATCTTCCGAACACAATGAAGACCTTACAAGTCACCCTAAGGTTGTAGCCAAGGAAGGAAGTCGTGAGTAGACTCTTCTATAAAAAAAAAAAAAAAAAAAAAAAAACCACTCATGGATGTAATTATTCCTCACAAAAGCTACTTACTAAAATCCAGCAATGTTTACCTGCCAGGTACCATTTTAAATTCTCTACATACACAATCTTACTTATTCCTAGAACAACCCACAAAGGAGTCTAGCAGAAACTCCAGCATCAAAGCTAGCTAGAATCAAGATTCACATTCGGACTTCTCTGCACAGAGGCCTGCTGTGGCTTTCTATAACTCAGTCATCAGGTGGTAGCCCACACTTGGCTCATAAGCCACTGACACTTGCAGCCTGGGTTACCATGGTGATGCCACACTCACATTTTCTTTATTTTCATCCTGGTCAATGAGCTGAAAGATGTCGTGGTCTAGAGAATCAGAATGGCTCCTCTTCAGTGCTGGGCTACATCCCAAGAGCTTCTGCTACCAAAGTACAAAAGAGAAATTGAATTCATAAAGGGAAAAACAATAGGAAATTCTGTTCCATTTATTTATTTACTAATTTTAGATAGGTTTTCACCCTGCAGCCAAGGCTGGACTTGAACTTAAGATGATCCTCCTTCTTCAGCCTCCCCAATTACACCCAGTCAAAACCTCATATTTATTTATTTGGTTTTGGGCCAGGGTTTCTCTGTGTAACAGCTCTGGATGCCCTGGAACTCATCCTGAACTCACAGGAGAGCTGCCTGTTTCTTCATCTCCTATACCACCCAGCTCAAAACCTCAACTCTTTTTAAAAAATTTTACTTATTTTATGTGCACTGGTGTTTTGCCTGCATGTATGTCTGTGTGAAGGTATCAGATCCCCTGGAACTGGGGTCACAGATAATTGTGAGCTGCCATGTTGGTGTTGGGAATTGAACCTGGGTCCTCTGGAACAGCAGTCAGTTCTCTTAACCTCAGGGCCATCTCTCCAGCCCTCAAAACCTCAATTCTTAAAGAAATGAAGTGCGGGTCGGGAGAGCTATCTTCCCACATACTACAGCAGCTAACCTGTAAATGTGACCTGGGCTCCACCCTGCTATAACTTAGAATGGCCTTACACCTAATTATACAAGGCTTGTAGCCCTCCTGGCAGGTATGTTATAGTGCCAAATCAACCCCCTGGTAACATTTACGTAAAAAGAACCTTTCCTGGTTTGATAAAACAGAGACTGAGAACAAAGTCCACAAGAGGCACCCACTGTTGAAGCTGCTCTAGGTAATCCTTACTATCTAGCCTTAATGTTTACAGGAATGCAGGAAAGCAATGTCTACTTCCTTAACATACATGAAGCTGCCATTTAGGGAGGCAGTTTACAGGCATTAGATCAAAATGTCAACTTACAGGTAAGGAATTTATTCTCCTCAGGGAAATTTCAAGGCTGTAATGAGATCAAAAGGGACATATGAGAATAAAGAGTTATTTACCAGCAGATTCACATTGCTTAGCCTACAGTTTGGGGAGTGGGTGGGCAAGTCGGGCTCTCATTGTAGCAAAGATATACAAGAATAAATGTCTAAAGCTTCTCTGGTCTCAGGAGCACCCCAAACACTAGGCATCTAGACTGAAAAACTCTGACATCTCTTGAAATACATACATTCATTCATTGCTTATTAATGCCAAAAGGTAGAGCAAGGGAAATTACAGCTAAAACAAAGGAGGAAAAGAAAATTCTGGAAACTGCCGACACAAAACAATACATTCATTCTCAGCAGTGTTTCTGGAACTCAAGCATCTCACTGGGAGCAGCTAACTGCAGAGCTCTAGCCCACCGCATGAATAACTTCATCCAGGGCAATATAATGAGATCCGTATCAAAAGCTAATGAACAAGCTTCTTTTCTTTTTGGCGATTCTAGGGATTAAACCTAATCTCACATACACCACACAAGCACCCCATCATCGAGTTCATTTTTTTTACTTTAGCTTTTAAAAATAATCTATTTTTATTTTATGTGCACTGGTATTCTGCTTGCATGTGTGTCTGTGTGAGGGTGTCAGATCCCCTGGAACTAAAGATACAGATAATTATGAGCTGCCATGTGGGTGCTGAGCATTGGACCCAGATCCTCTGGAAGTGCTTTTAATCGCTGAGCCATTTCTCCAGCCCCTTCACTTTATTCTGACAGGCCTTGAACCTCTGATCCTCCTGCCTTAACTTCCCGAGTAGCTGAGACTACAGGTCTGGTTAAGGAAAAATTCTCTAAGTATAAAATTTAAAAGCAATGAATACATACTTTTCTTTACTGTCCAAGGGCCCAGGAGAATCTAGACAGAAACCTTTGAGAAATAAAAACAAAATTCTTAGGAAGTAATACACATTCTGTTGTTAAGTAACATTTTCTAAAAACATCCCAGGTCCTCTTTTATTTGCTAATACCAACAAGAGAAACAAAGATTTATGAGCCAATCAATATCAAGATTAATTGCTTTTTCAGATAGAAATGACACATCACTTTCTGTGGAGTTATTTTTTTCAAGCCATAGAACTAATTTAGGGGCATGAAAAATATAACCAACTAGGCATGAGTTCCAAGAGGCAAGTCTGGTGTACACAACAAGATTGTGCTTGAAAAGAGGACTGAAGAGTTCAGGAGAACACCACTACTCTTGCAAAGGACCTGAGTTCAATTCCCAGCAACCACATGGCTGCTAATATCTTCAACTGCAGTTCCAGGGAACCGGGACACCCTCTTCTGGCCTCCAAGGAAATATTTGATGGTATACAGCATGAGGCACATAAGAAAAACACCACACATATGAAATAAAAATATTTTCTTTTCATAAACACGGACTCCCTCTATACTGAAGGGTGTACCCACACCATGGTTTCTAAGTGTATTGTCACCATGACATGATTCAGGAAATTCCCAATACTGTTCCCCAAATGGCTTAAGACAATTGAACAAAGACCTGGACTGGCCTGGGGCATGGTAGTCCATACCTTTAACCACAATACTAAAGAGGTAAGAGGCAGGTGGATCACTGAGTTTGAGGCCAAGTGATCTACACAGTGAGACCCTGTCTCAAAATAAATAAATTAAAATTTAAAAACTAAGGGACTGAAGAGATAGCACTTGGGTGTTCCAGTAGAGGGGGACAAACTCAATTCCCAGCACCCAAATCAGACAGCTCACAATGGTCTGTAACTCTCCAGCTTCATGGGCTCTAATGCCATCTTGGTAGGCACCCTTGCTCGCATGCACACACACACACACACACACTCACTCATTAATAATAATTATAATAATGATACCTGAATCAGTTGATTCAGAGGAGCCCATTCTCTGTAGACTGCTGTTGTTTCTCACTTCCATTGGCTTTTCATAGTCACTGAAATCAAGAGAAATACTGACACACGAGCAATTTCTAGGACACAATTAAAGTCACATACAGGGAGCTGGGCCATGAAGTAGCCAGGCTGCCACAACCAAGGACGACACAATCACACTTGGCCACCCAGAATACCAGCTAGTATTTGAACAAAGAAAAGAGTGGATCTGGCCTTGGGCCACATTGTAGGACATGCCTGTGGCAAACGATGGGTTATTTCCTTAAATGAGGGCCTTGGTTTCAGTTACTATGATAGGAGTAAGGGCAAAGGTGAATAGAACAGGAGTCCCAGCTTTTCAGGAGCTGGAAAAATCCTAGGACATGTTTAGGAAAGGAGATGCCCAAGACTAAAGGGAAAGTAACTTCATTAAAAATAATGGAATGAGCTTTTGTTGGTGGTAGTGGCGTAAGGGAAGCCTACTACTGAGTCCACGAAGACTTCCAATAGAAAATTAAATAATAAAAAGGGCTAGCTATAAGAAGATAGACGGGTAGAGGTAAGAAACGTGCCGGCCAAATGACTGCATGTATTTTGCACAAATGCAATAAAAGAAAATGCCATGCCCCTTTGTTGAGAAGGAACAAAGCTTACAGGAAACTAAGATCCGGCGCGGCTGTTCAGCAGATTATTAGTGAGGGCCTAGGAGGGCCCATTTTCCCCCGTGGGGGTAGATTCCAAAGAGCTCCCTGGAATAGAGTACAGAGAATCTGAAAGGGATGAACAAGATAGGAAACCTAGCAGCCTCCCCCGCTCCCCGGTCTGGCTCGGGCTGAGGATAGCCCTGGACTATCCGAACGGCCTCTCCCGCCCAACATTCTGCCCGGGGGGGGGAGGGTGCACATGGCGGGCCCTGGCCAGGCCATCCCGGATCGGAGCATCGGGACCACCTGGACAAACCCTGCTTCCTGCTAGATCATCCCGAGGGTCGATCGGCGGCCAGCGGCCTGGGGCATCGCTCGCCGGTCTCTCACCTGCCTAGCCCTTCCAGCTGGTCCATGGTGGCCGTCAGATTGGTGACAGGGGACAGTCCGCCAGCAGCCGACGCGCCAAATAGCACTTTCCCCGTGGGCTGCGGCGCTGGAGTGGGGCTGCAAGCGAAGAGCAGGCGGCGACGGTGGGGGGGCTCCGGGCCCAGTTCCATGGCGCCGCCGGGCCTGCCCGGACTCCCGCTCCGTCTTCCTCCGCCTCCGCCGCGCCGGGCCCCGCCCCGCTGGCACCGGCTTCAGCCGCGTGCCACGCCGCCAGCGCCCGCGGGTCAAACACAAACACGACCCCGCGGTTCAGAGACGCCACCGCCACGGGCAGCGGCGCGGACGGGCGAGCGTCGGGGACTCGGCAGGCGCCAGCCACAAGCACCGGTGCTTCCCTCTCAACCCCGCGAGGCCCGCAGGCGGGCGGGCGCCTGCAACCTCAAGATTAAATCCAAACAAACTCCGCGGGGCGAGGGTCTCGAGGCCACCTCACCGATTAACTCTCTTCACTTTTTTCTCCCGCTTTGCCCGGTCCCTGACAAGCAGAGGAGCAACCCTCACCTCCCTCACCACCAAAGTGGCCTTAGCGTTAATTGCAGCACAACTAGGAACGTGGCCGCCCCGCCCCTTTCCTAGTTGGCGCCAAACGGAATTCACCAATCAGGAACCAAACTTCCCCTCGCTCCCGAATGACAGCTGAGCTGGACCAATAAGAAGGAAAGGAGGAAGACTCTCGCGCGTCTCCTCGAGGTACTCCCTCTCACAGGCCCGAAGAGATGGGAGGTGGCAGAAATGAGAAGGTAGCTCTGGTCAATGAAACTCCCTGCGAGGTCCGCTGCTCTTTTCCAGTTGCATTCTGGGTAGTGTAGTTCCCCCAAGCGCACTTAGGGCCGGTCACATACCTTGTTTGAGCTACTAGTCCTCTAGTGCTGCTCACGTCTAGGAGACATAGAGACTACAAGGCCATCTGGACCTGGCTTTGGCTCTTCCTCTAACCATGCAGTATCATGAATTCCTCCTTTGCTTCACAGGCCTCCAGACCCTGATTTTGTTTGATTTTCTTTCTTTCTCTCTTTCTTTTTTTTTTCTTTCTTTCTTTCTTTTTCATCCTTCCTTCCTTTTTTTTTTTTTTTTTTTTTTTGGTATTTTGAGACAGGGTTTCTCTATAGTCTCTGGAGGCCAGCCTGGTCAACAGAGCTAGTTTTAGGACAGCCAAGACTGCAAAAAGAAACCCTGTCTCTAAAAACAAACAAACAAACAAAAAGATTGTGTTTTAGGTTGTTTCTTAAGCACCCCTGTAGATAATGACCACTAACTCTGCTTAGGGCTAACCACTGTTTACAGAAATCGTAGAATTTCTGAAAAGCAATAATAAGATACTAAGGAAGAATTCAGGAAATCAATCCCATTTACAATTGTCTCAAAAGAAAATACCTAGAAATAAACCTAACCAAGGAAGTAAAGTTTTCCACAAGAATTTAATACACTGAAAAAAGACCTTGGTGAAAATAGATGAAAACCATGCTCACGAATTGGTGGGATTAATATTATAAAAATGATTATCTTATTTATTACATATCCAAAGAAATTCTCTTGAGTGTTTCAGTGGCATTCTTCACAGAAATAGAAAAAAGCAATCTTAAAATCCATGTGGAGTACCCAAAACCAAACAAAAGAATGGGGAAGGGGGAATTTCACTCACAAATGGGCGGGACATGGTATGTTGACTCATGGAGGTTAAGAGGATAGTGAACCAGCCTGATCTACATACCCTAGCTCAATGCCTCCCTGCTCCTCCACAAAAAAACAACCCAGATGTCTCCCCCTGAGAATGGTCAGGAGATAGAGACCCCATGAGTAAAGTGGTGTTGTCCCCCCACACTCTTATGATTGTATCTTCCTCATGGCAGCTAGTTGTCCCTAGCATTGAAAGGGAGAAGGGAGAAGTGGAAACCAAGATTAAGTCAATTAATCCTGAATTACAGTTTGGGGGCTTTTGCTCATTCATTTTTGTAAAGATTATTTATTTAGTTTATATATGTGAATTCTGTAACTGCATGTGAGCCTTTATGGTGGAAGAAGGTATCATATCCCACTAGAGATGGCTGTGAGCCACCAAGTAGTTACTAGGAATCAAACTCAGGTCCTCTGGAAGAACAGTCAGCAGTAGCCACTTGTTGATTTTTTTAAAAATGTATTTAATTTTATTTTTATGTGCATTGCTGTCAGGGTGTCAGGTCCCCCTGGAACTGGAGTTACAGACAGTTATGAACTGCGTGTGGTGCTGGGAATTGAACCTGGGTCCTCTGGAAGAGCAGTCAGTGCTCTTAACTGCCAAGCCATCTCTCTAGCCCCAGCTTGTTCATTTTTTAAAGACAGGGTCTAGTCTGACCTCAAACTTACTATATAACCATGAATGACCTTGAACTTCTGGCTACTCATGACCTTCAAGTCCCTGAAAAGTAACCTAGGCAACTGTTATGATATTTCACGTGAAGAAACTAATAATCTAGTAGGGAACTAGAAATATGTTAAAATCCAAAGTTACTCATTTTTAAGTCAACTAAGAACTATCAAAGCAAGGGGGTTTATCTAGGCTTTTACTCAGTAATACTTCTACATGGTAATTGTTTGCAAATCTGAACTTTTGTTTGTTTACTTCTTTTTTTGTCTAAGACAAATTTCACAATGTAACCACATTTCATCTTTTGGCCAGGATGGCCTAGACTTTCAGCTCCTGTGGCTCTGCACGGAGGAATGCTGAGATTATAGGTGTGAGCCACTGAACTTTTCTGTAGTAGGTAATCTCTTTATGTAGTGCAGATTTAAATATTTCAGACTAAGTAAGTAAAAGCCTAGACTCAAAAATTCTCAAGATGGCTGTGCGGCTTTAGGCTCCGTTGCCAGCTGCTACCCCTTTGCCAGTGGTTGATGGTGAGGCTGTTAGTTCAGCACTGCTGCCTTAGGGGTCCCATCCTCCTCTGGGACTCCATCCAGATAAGCTTAGAGCCTTGACCACGTCCCAAAGATAACATCAGGAGGAGCCAGAGGGAAGAAAAGTCAGTGAATTTATTAAGTATTGAGATGAGTGGTTAGGAAAGGAACATTATATACTCCCAAGACGTAGTTGTGGTTGTGGGCTTCTTCCATATCTTTACCATGGCCATATATGTCATTCTATACCTTTTCTTTTGAGCCAAGGTCTCAAAAGAGCCAGGCTAGCTTTGAACACTCTGTGTAGTCAAGGATTACCTTGATCTGAACTTCAAGTCTCCACCTCTGAACTTAGGGGTTTGTAAATGTTAGGCGATCACGACCAAGTAAGTTACATTCCCAGCCCAGCTCTCCAGCTTTTAAGTGACACGAGAAAGAAATGACAATAATATCAGAGTTTGGGAGGTAGAAGCAGAAATTTAAAGTCATCCTTAGTGAGCCTGGGGAGTTCTAGACCAGTTGGGGCTACCTTGAGATTTAAAAAAAAAAAAAAAAAATCAAACAACAACAAAATTTTTAAAGAACGGACGGAGCTGATAAGATGTCTCAACAGGTGAAGGTACCTGCAGCACAGCCTGGTGGCCCCAGTTTGATCCCTAGGACCCACATGATCGAAAGAGATAAACAGGTCCTACAAGTTATCCCTTGTTGCTCACATTTGAGTACACATAAGTAAGTATAATAAATTAAAACTGACATAACTTGCATCAATGTTTATTTTTTGAGGGGAGTGGTTCAAGACAGGGTTTCTTTGTATAGTCCTGGCTGTCCTGGAACTAGCTCTGTAGACCAGGCTGGCCTCAAACTCAAATATCCACCCTCCTCTTCCTGGTGCTGGAATTGAAGGCTTTCTCTATCACCTCTGCCATTGCAATGTATAAACAGAATTTAAGTAAGTAACATTGTATGAGATGGCTTGCTTACTTCTCTTATCTTGAAAGATTTTCTCTTGTAAATAAAGTTGTGAGGGATTTTATAAGGTAGATTGTCTAAATTAGGGACGAGAGGCATGCTAATTCAAGGCCAAAAACATTCTGCTCCTGACTGAGTAAACACCCTTTGCTATTTTAACATTCTTCACGATTGTTGTTTGTTGTTGGTGGTTGTCACTTTTTTCTTTTTACTTTTTGTACAGGTAAGTTTATTTAAAATGTTTTTATTATTATTTATGTATGTATACTTATGTGCCTGTGTATATAAATGCCTGGTAAGATCAGATACGTGTCACATCCTCCAGAGCTGGAGTTACAGGTAATTCACGTGATATTGGTGCTAGGAATCCAACTTGGGTCCAGTGCAGGAACAGTGCTTGCTCTGAACCACCGAGCCATCTCTCCAGCTGTGCTGGCCAGTTCTTTGAAACAGGATCTCATGCGCCGCAGGCTGTCTTCAAAGCCTATAATAGCTTTCAACTCCTGGTTTTACTGCTTCCATCTCCCAAGTGCTGGGACTATACTCTATGCCACTATATCCAAAATAGCCTGGATGACACGAAGTAATGTGCTGTAGACACAATCTTCAGCTAGCTACCTTGCTTTTCTCACACCATGTATCTTCGAGATGGGTTAACATCAGCAGATAAGTGTCTTTCAATCCAAGGTTACATGCTAAGCTCTACATTCCCATTCCAGCTCAAATGAAAATTTGTCTTGTTTTTGTGGGTTTTTGTTTTTTTCTTCAAGACAGGGTTTCTTTGTACCTTTAGAACCTGTCCTGGAACTCTCTCTCTCTCTGTAGACCTGGCTGGCTTTGAACTCACAGTGATCCACCTGTCTCTGCCTCCCAAGTGTGTGCCACTATCACCTGGTCTGTTTTTTTTTTGTTTGTTTGTTTTTTGTTTTGTTTATTTTCCTTCTTTCCCTTGGTCTGTAAATCCACATTTCTTTTATTTTCTATTTTTCTTTTCCCCTCACCCAAGACAGGAAGCTAACTGTGTATAGTGTTTTTCTTTTTATGTAAGAGTGTGCTGTCTCAATCAGAAGAGCCTCCTCACAATTCTTCACATGAACATTGGTTTTAAGTTCTGGCCCTTTGGAGGCTAGGAAACACAGAGAACAAAAAGGACCTTGAAAAGTATGTCATGTGCTTTCTTCCATCTTGGTGAGCTCACCAGCCAAAACACACACACACACACACCATGGCACACCCAGACACACATGAATGAAATTTGAAATTAAACTTAATGTACAATAAAGTAATAGAAAAAGAAATTAAAAATACAGAAAAAAAATCTTTCCTGGAGTTACAGAAATAAAAGGAAGCCCAATGTGGTAGTATGTTTTTGTTTTTTTTTTTTAATTTTTAAAATTTATTTATTTCTATTTTATGTGCATTGGTGTTTTGCTGGAGCTACAACAGTTGTGAGCTGCCATGTGGGTGCTGGGAATTGAACCTGAGCAGTCAGTGCTCTTTACCACTGAGCCATCTCTCCAGCGCCCCTTTTATTATGTATGTATGTATTTATTTATTTTTTGAGACAGAGTTTTTCCTGGCTGTCCTGGAACTCAGTTGGTAAACCAGGCTGGCCTCGAACTCACTGAGATCCACCTGCCTCTGCCCCCCAAGTGCTAGGATTAAAGATGTGTGCCACCAACACCTGGCTTATTTTTGT